GTCAAGTGTGCGACAGCATGATTCACTTAACAGCCAGCCGTGGAATATTGCCCATCTGCGTGCACCTCACCGTCAACCGGGGGTGGGGGCCCTGACTGACAGTGACCAGTTAAGCGTGGACTGCCAGCCTTCCGCGGTTGACTGTTAAGCCAGATTTGCAGCCACACGAGTGTTCAAAGTGTCTTGACCATTCGAACGCGCTACCGAAGATGCTTGTTCCCGCCTCGTACACTAACAACTTAGCACTACTGGTACGGCTAAGGCTATTTTGCCGCAGTAAGAACTAAGAACAATATGCGGCAATATAGCTGGTTGGCTATTTTGCCGCACAATACGGCTCAGTAGCCATAGGCTATTTGGCCGCAGTGCCAGCGGCATGCTACCTCTTTAACTATTTTGCGCCACACTGTAGTCATAGGTTATATGAGTACGTACCTAAGAAACCTAAGAATAGGATCTAAGATGAACCTAAGAATTATGTATACGCTTTATTTGTAAGCTACCGTAAAACGAACAGAAAAACTTAAGAAAATTATAACCCAAGAATAAGACCTGAGAATAACATAAGACTAACCTAAGAGGAACCAAAGAAGTATAACCTAAGAAACCTAAGAATAACGCAAGAATAATTAAGAATTACCTCAGAATAATACCCAAGAAACCTAACTTGTAAGAAATTCATCAAACATACTGCAGCAAAATAGCTGACCAGCTGAAAAGCCGCACTGTGCGGCAAAATAGCAAAAGGCTAATTCTGCCGCAAAAGTTGCGGCAAAATAGCCATTCCGTTAACCATTAACGTGCAAGACTGCAAGCGAGAAAAATGTAACAAACTACAGAGTAGAATCACCAAGTCAATCTCAAAACTGAATGTCATTATAACTTCATTTTGGGCAAGATTTTCAGATTAAATTTTTTTGACACTCTACTAACCTTGATCTCCATAGAACGGGGTAGCATTCTTTTTTGAGTAATACAGATCAACTCGAGATACGAAGGCCTGGTTAAATGGAACCCATCTTTTCTGTCTGCCTGAGCATCGATAATCTACGAGGACTCCGCTTGTAGAGTTAGCTATTACTAAGCCACACTCGGACACTAAGCCACACTCGGACACTCCATCTTCTCCAAGGACCTCGACGACGACTGTGGAACCCCGTCCTTTCGTCTCCATCGACAGTGGACACGAGCATGTCGTCAATGACTCGTCATCAACTGACCACCTAAACGCTTCTCTCCCAAGACTAAAATAAATCAAGCAAGTATGTACAACTTACTTTACAGCAACACTATAAAATCGACAAGAAAAAATAGCGCACGATAGTCCGAATACGGCAAACATTTCACTAAAAAATGCTTTAAGGTGGCTGTGTATGTGTGTGGTGTACGATTGGCTGCTGGTTTTGAATAAGGGGCGCACATCTGTTACGGTCATAGGTCATACCCTTTACTGCCAATGTTGGAAGCGAATAAGTGTGGACGGCTGTTCAGATGAGATGCTGATAAAACAGTTACGCTCCACTCTCCCGGGCCCCCGGCACACAGCATAACGGAGTATTGCAGAGACACACAGAACCACCGCGTACGGCAATGCATTTATCAAGAAACAGAGTAAGTACTGTTACTGAGCCAGCTGAACACCGCATGTGATCGCAGTTAGTGCTAAACGAAAAGAACTCTGAAGTTCTATATGATCCAGTTGCACATTTGCATAAATTTCGTCCAAAAACTCAGTATAATTCGTTTTGGTTTGATGAGCAAAGCATCGTAATGGTAACGGATAACAACATAACCCTATCTAATGGCCCTTCTGGGTCGACGATTGCAAAGGAAACGCAAGGTTGCACCGTCGTCGAAGTCCTGAGAGAAAATGGAGCGCTGGAGTGTGGCGTAGTATCAGAAACTTCCAAAAGCGGAGTGCTTTATCAGATGGCGCTGGCTAAGCGCGCATCGTCCATCGACGGAGGAACAAAACGAACCCGGATGTACGCCTTAATGCCGAAATCTGAACACACACCGCGCTTTGCGCGCAAGCCAAAAACCAACTGGTCTCTGTAGGCAGCGCAGCTGCCTTACAGAGCCATCAAAACGCATGAAAATGCCCAGACAGGAAAAAACCCAAAACCAACCAATGACAGAAGGGCTGAATCATAAGCCCGCCCTGACAGCTTGTAGACTTCCGATGCGCAGGCAGTCCGGCCAAATGGATTCCTTTGGACCAAGCCATGTTTTCTCGAGTTGGACTCTACGATTCTCAAGAGCAGTTGCCCCGATCTGTGGAGGTCATGGTAAGTGTCTTAGCAGTTAGGAAAGTGGCCTGCAGTTGTCTGCTAAGTTTGCAACTAAAGATTCTTTAAGAAAAAAGCCCCTGAAGGCACTCGCAGTCCCAGGGAACCTTCTTCAGTTCGCACGTAAATTGCTAAAAAACATTCCAGAGATCTTTTGGAGGTGGTCTGTCGAAATTTATCAACCTTTTCTAAAGGTCATCCACCGTTCTGCCAGCTTCTCGTGGGAGATCGTTTTGGAGACATGTGCGAACCCGGACCCGCTTCTATATTATTTGCCACTGCAGACTTTCGCAATCACCTTCCCTTAAGAAAATCGTTAAATACCGCTATCCTAATTGCCCTGTCAAACAGTTTCATGCAGCCTGCGTTACCGCACAGCGAACAAAAGCGGAAGCGTTTGCGTGTAGCATCTGCGAATGACCAGGATTTTGTACCACAATCGTTATCATAAGTCCAAATTTAAATACCGCTTTTAAGACTGTGTGAGACGAGGCTTCACTAGCGTTCACGCCCGTGGCGCTAGGCGCTACGCCTTTGGATTACGGTCTGTGTTGTGTCTCGCTTCTGATTGGCTTGTGTTTTGTTAGTGGGCGCGGCATAGCACGTGCTGCACAGTGTTACACACTGTTGAATGGGCTCCACGTTTTACGATCGAGCTGCGCCGATCATTATTGATTTTCTGTTGTCTAGACTTTCAATATTATTAAAAGTCAGCGATTTACGGTGCGACGTTTGTGTTTCCGCATAGCTCGCGACCCATATCGTATCGCTCGCTTCTACGGGATAGATTCCGTTTCTGTCTCCGTCTGTGGATCTATTCTGGATCTACCATTAGATGGTAGCAGAGCCGACAGCGGTTCTCTGATCTGATTTGATTTGTGTCAGGCAAAGTTGGCCTGTTATTTGATACGTCGCCCGTGACCAGTAAAGCACAGGTCGGTCCTACAGCAAAGCGCACACCACAAGCGGTGAACTGCCTCATCTGACGCGGATTTCCAGCTTCGGTTTTCGGTACGGTATCTTCAGCGAAGAACCGTGCTGTTGCCCCAGCTGTGCAAGAGTTCAAGAGTTCAGTCGTCGGTGTTCCTCGGTGTAGAGTCTTCAGCGAAGACCTACACTGGTGTCACCGATACTCGGCAAGGATTCAGCGAATCCTAAGCCGTGGGCCACAAGCGGCGAAGCGCTAAAAGGGCGCACGGATTTGCCAGATCAGACTCCTCCAAACTGGAGTAGAGCATTACTGTTGCTACGGCACAGCCGGCACAGTAGCCTACTAATAGCGCGAGGCACGCTACGGAACAGCGGCGACGCGGGAACGGAGTTGGAAGAAGAATTGGATCATCTGGATCACTCTCCCCGTGGAACGGACGGACGTGGAACGGACAGACGGTGAACAGGTAGAAAAACCGTTATTAATTACGAGATTGGCTAGTTGATAAATTTGGCAATTCCTATTGGTCGTACTGAGCTGAGTGTATACGTAGGCGGAGTTTTGCACACGGCGCGCATGTTTGGCCGTTGACCGTGACGTCAGGCAGATATAAATTTTAAGAGGAGAAACGTGATTGGTCAGTTATCTGAGCTGTGATTGGTCGAAACTTGAACTGAATATTTTGAGCTAGCGGACCAATCAGAAAGACATAAACAACCCGAATGGGGATTTTCCGCTGAACTCTAGCTGTAATGGGAAACTTGATCTGAGATGAGATAATTGAGATGGAAGATGACCTTTTGAGTTGAGACAAAGGAAAAGTGACCTTTGATCGAATTGAGCTTAAAAGTGACCTTTAACCTGATTTGAGCGGAAAGTGAACTTTTTACAGAAATTGAGTTGGAAAGTGACCTTCTGAGTTGAATTGAGTCGGAAAGTGACCTTTGAGATCAGAAGTTGACCTTTGACCTAGAAAAGTGACCTTTACTGAAAAGTTGGAATTGACCAAATTGACCTAGTTACGTGACCTTTATGGCCTGAAAGTGACCAATAGTGACCTTTATCAAAGTTAAATTGAAGCGAATAGTAGCACGGCGATATCAGCAGCCGTAGGATTTCATTCGTAAACGTGTTCTAAACTGTAAAAACGGTTTCGAAGTTTTGTCCGAAAGTGACCTTTTAGGGCAAATCTCTCGAACTTTTTATCGAAAAAGTGACCTTTACACGGGACTTAGTCGAAATTTTTCAGTCGAAAAGTGACCTTTAATAAGGACTTAGAAAAATTTCGGAGGTACAGAGTGACCTTTAGGAAAATTGAATAAACCATACAATAACGCGTTTGTGAGAACAATTGGCAGGAGCGTCAAAGTTATCCGATCAACATGGACAAAGACCAAGAGGAACCGACATCTAACAGCAGTCAGGGAAGCAAAAGCTCCCGAAGCTCACAGCAAGGTGCACCAAATCCGTACAAAAAAGATTTGTACCCGTACTCGCGTCCGGTTGGAGCGCCCAAAGCATTCGAGAAGAAGGACTCACGAGGCTCCGATAGCACTTATCAGAAGGCGCTCGAGGCGGTCGCCAATCAGGAAAGTTCCAGTGACGACCAGAAGCACACTCCCGCGTCTACGGCGGGAAGTGACCCGATGAACCAGACAAAGGTCACTGGGGAGGAGAATTCCACAGCAAGAGGAGCGGAACCAGTTGGGGCATCATAGTTGGATGCTACCACTATCGGAACTACTGAGCAGGATAAAAATGTGAACCTGACTCAATTGGAGATGGAAATGACAAAGGTCACCGAAGAGGATCTGGCCGAACTGGGATTGAGCGACCTTTCGCTGAACGACAAAGCAGCAGATGATGACCTTTGGGCAACTCCAATGGTCTCAGATGAATCGAACGAATCGTATTTCACGGACGATGAAACGACCATGAATATGTCGTTCCAATCCGCAATGAGACAAGCTGACCGCGCTGAAGGGATGACACCTTTCAAGGACATACCAGAACACCTCATCGAACGGACACAAACGGGAAAGGTCATCAACGTACGACCGCCGTCACCGAATAGCCCCACGTCAACTCTGAAGAGACGCGTGAAGGATCTGGAAGATGAACTCCATAATAAGGAGGACCAGACGGCGAGACGAAAACAGGAATATCAAGAGAGGCTGACATCGCTTGAAACCCGGCTGTTTGAGTTGGAACAACAACGGGGTTACTTGGAGAGCACAGCAGAGGAATGGAAAGTGAAGTACGAAAAGCAAAGGGAACTGGCCGAAGAGTACTTGAAAATGGTTGATGACAGAGAAATGGAAGGTCATCTTGCGGTCAGTGAACTTAACGAGAGTATGTCCGAAGAATCAGCTGAAAGGTCACGGCACATAGCCGAATTAAAGGACGAATGTGACTCACTGAAACTAAAGGTCACCGAAACTGAAACGAAAAGAGATGAATACGCAACCAAACTCGCCGAAGTTACTCAGCGGTTGTTGACGAACACCACTGAAGTCTTCAAGCTCAGGAATGACCTGAAGCTCCGTGACGAGAATATCGGGACCCTCCAGAAGGAGTCATACGATCACCAGAGAAGAGCTGATGAAGCCGCTAAGGTGGCAAAGGACTTGCGAGATCTTACAGCCACCGAAGGTGTACGGCTGAAGAATGAAATAAGACAGGTGATGCAAGAGAACAAGGTGTTGAAGGAGGACAACAAAAAGGTCACCGATGAGATCAAAGAGTTGAAAGAAGCCGCCAAGACAATTGCCGAGCAAGGCAAGAGGTGGGAACATGAGGCACACCTCCTGGATGAAAAGGTCACGGTGCTCGAGTTGAAAGATAAAGAGTGGCAACAGACAGTTCATCAGAAGACACAGGAGATCATTAAACTCAACACGGAGTTGATCGATATGACCCAAACAGCAATGACAAGAGAAGATGAGGTCAATCAGACAAAAACCCAGCTGAAAGCGGCAGCCGATGAGTACTCGAAACTGGAACGAGATGTGACCCAGTTGGCGGAACACATTAGGAAAGTGGAAAACGATACCGAAAAGGTCATCCAAGACAAAACGCTTCAATTGCATCAGCAAATGTCGAAGGTCAACCAAGAGAACCAGAACCTGAAGAATGAGAAAGAACAATCCGATTTAAGGATTAAGCGCCTCGAAGATGAGAATAAAGCTCTTCAAATGTCCAACAAACATAAAGACGAACAGCTCCTACAACACGGAGTCAGAACAGCAACAGTGGAATCGCCCCTACCCAGTTACAGCAAGGCGCATGAAACGGGCACGGGCAAAAGTTTCCACTTTGAGATGCCGCTACGAACCGGCACTGGTAAGGGAAGCGTTAAAAACGAAAGAGATGGCGAAAAGGTCACAGATGACAAAGAGCCACCTTCAGAAAGCTACCCGCATATGAGTCGAGGTGACCCTTCACAATTTCCCCCGCACATTGAAACGAATGTGTTTATCGATGAAGGACGACGAGACAGACCCCCCCAGCCGGCAGGAACGTCCGAGGAAGTCCCGTTATGGAAAGGCGCAACGAACTCAAAACGATGAAGGAAGTAGCGAAGAAGACGATGACCGGAGAGCAGAAAACACAGCTGTACAATTGACAAAAGCACTCAATTCAATGGCTCGGAAAACGCCTCTCATGACCTTCGACGGCAGTCGCGACACTGTGAGTGGATGGACACGGTTGGTAAAGGAAACCCAAAGGACTTACCAGCTGACGGACGACCAAATTATGATCGAGATAGCCAGTGCAGTGAAAGGTCCTGCAAAAACATGGTTCGAAGGAGAAAAGGACATCGCAGCCGAAGATGGAATTGAATACTCAATAACAGAGTGGATGGACAAATTCAAAGACGAATACGGTGATCGAGATGAAGAAGTCTTAGGTTTACGTGAGGCCTATGCAAGGAAATTTGAACTCGGAAAAGAATCGCTGGACCAGTATTATCAGGCGATGATGCGATTCAAAGCTAAAAGAATCATCACGGAGAAACAAGCAGTCGGATTCTTAATTGAAGGATGTAGAGGAGACAATGAACTCTACAAGGCATTGCGGATACTAAAGTGCAAGACGCCAACGGACGTGAAGGACTTCTTCCGACATTGGGCCACCGGCGAAGAGAAATATAAGGCGCCTAAATGTCAACGTAATCAGGAATACGTGACCATCCGCCAAGGCCAAGTCGAAAATGTGCCGCAACAGAGAATGGCAGCTACACCAATTCAGCAACCAGTTGAATACCGAGTGGAGACTCCGGTTAGAGAGGTCACGGAAAAAGTGACCTTTATCGACAGCCAGACAGGACAACCGATAACGTACGCAATGGTAGCGGCGATACAAGCGGCAGCTCAAGTGAGACCGATACCTCAGAATGTGGCTCCACCAGCACCACAGAATGTGGCCCCTATGAATATAGGGTTACCACAACAGGGAGCGGGTAATGGAAATTTCGGTGGAAACGGATATGGAAATGGTAACTGGAACGGAGGTCAAGGAAACTTCCAACAGAACCAAGGTCAAGGTCAAGGAAACTTCAGAGGGAATCAACAGCAACAAGGGTCACGAACAGAATTCAAGTTTCAGTTAATTGACGGATGGGTAGCAAACGGAGTGCAGATGTGCCAACAGTGCATGTATGGCAATCACCAAACACAGGGATGCAAGTTCGCCAACACACCACCGGACCAGAACCCGAACTTGTTTGCGTTCAACGAGTGGCAACGACTGCGCGGGCTTGGTGGTTGGCGCCTAGCGGTGAATAATGGATATGACCTCATCACCCAATGGTATCAGCACAAAGCAAACTTCCAAAACCAGAATGGGAACGGTAATTATGGAAATGGAAATGGTGGCCAAGGCGGCGGCTATCGTGGCGGTGGCTTCGGCCGCGGCGGCTTCAGAGGAAGGGGCAGAGGCTTCGGCCGCGGAAACTTCAGAGGAGGCCAGAACAATGGAGGTGGCCAAGGAAACTACCAACAGGGCGGCGGACAAAATAATGGTGGCGGCCAGAACATGGGAAACGGACAGAACCCTAACCCGGCAATTGGTAACGGACAACAACAAGGCAATGTGCAAGGCGCGCAACAAGGAGGGGCGCCGGTTCAGGGAAACGGGCAAGATCAGTAGGCACCGGTGAGCCTACTGATCGTCCCGACCCTAAACCACCGGATAAAAGGGAAAGGTCACCACTGCAGTGAATGTGACCACTGCAACGGCTATACGGATGCCGTCAGCGCAAAAAGAAACGGCTAAATGGATGCCGCCTCAGCAAAATGAAACGGCTATATGGATGCCGTTAATGCAAAAAGAAATTGGAACGGTTATAAGGATACCGTCACAGCAGCAGAATCAAAGGTCACCGCAGAATGGTACTGCGAGTGGAAACGTTCAAGCTGATAAAAGGTCACCGCAGAATGGTACTGCGAGTGGAAGCGCGCAACAGGACCAAAGGTCACCGCAGAATGGTACTGCGAGTGGGAATTGTCGTGACGGTAGCGCGACACTGCAAAAAGTGCAGCAAAGGTCACCGTATTGCAACGAAGAAGTGTTAGCGCAACGACGCGCAGAACGGAACGCGAAGATTCAACAAGCGCTGCGGAACCAAAAGAAACCACAAACTGATACTGCGGAAGAAATAGAAATGCACCACGAGTGGTTCCGGAAACAAAGGGCGACAAATGAGCAAATTTCACCTCCGCAGAACGACACTGCGGATGGACAAGAGGAAAGGTCACCTTCTGTTGGAAAAGTTCAAGTGAGAGGTCAAGGAGCGAGTGCGAACGCGAAAGGTCACGGCGACAGCGTCGTGTTGAAAGGTCAAGAAACAAACATGACACTGCGAACTGCGCAGCAAAAGAATAATGAAATGGCACAGAACTCCGACGACTCACTTGTTGACGCAGTAACTCTGCAACAGAAGGAAAAGGCAAAAAGTGGCCTACAGACCGAATGGCAATCACGGGATGTGGATACCCGTAACGCCGAAAGCGAAGCAGAAAGCGCGAATGTCACAAGAGGATTACTGGGACATGCAAGAACTGCGAACGCAACATGAGAGGAGAAGATTAGAAGAGTTGGTTACCGGGAAACCAGCGCAAGGGTCACCGAACCCAGTCCCAGCATTCGACCCAGCTGAATATAAGAAGGCATTCGCTGACGAAAATTTTAAAAGAAATGCACCGCCAAACGATAAACCGTTAAATTATGGAGAAAAAGTCCCCATACAAAAGTTGACAGGCGGCGGATTTGTCATGAAGCGCAACGAAAGGTCACAGGACTTAGCGCAAAATGAACAAAAAGGAAGGTCAAATGAGAGGGCGCAAACGCAACAGAGTGGCGCAACCGAAAGGTCACGGGACTTATCACAAGCACTGCAAAAGGATGCCAATGACAAGTCACCAGCCCGAACAGACGGGATATCTTCGCAAATTGACCCAACGAAAACGAACAATGAAGTATCTGCAAAAGTGATGCAATGGATGACCGAAAAGGGATATGACATGGTTACATATGAAAGGTCACCAGATGAGCTGAAAGACAGTGAAGCAGATGAACTGAAGCAAGCCGACCAAATAACAAGCGAAGTCATTGAGAAGTTGCGAGATAAACGAAATGAAAACCGTAAAGAGGAACTGATCCACCAAACGATAAATGAAGTGACAAAAGGTCACGGGGATAGCACAAAAGCAAACGAGCAAGTGCAAAATGCCGAAAAGGTCACCAGCAGTAAAGATTCCTGAGAAGCAAACAGACAAGAAAGAGACTCGGAAATTTTACGATGTTCGGACTGACGTGCCACACAGGATCGATAAGTTGAGCGAGATACTGAAAGGTCACAGTACTCAACGAAAGGATAAACGCCCCCTGACATGGATCCGGGACCAGTATCACTTATTCCTGTGAAATGTAAGATTCACACATTGAAGATTCAAAACGGAAAATTGCCCAAGAATCGAAGCATACACATGAAGTGAAAGTGGGAGACATAAAGGTCAACGCAATGTTGGACACCGGCGCTGAGACGTCGCTGATCAGCAAACCGTTTTGCGAAAATGGATTGCCCCATTACCACCAGATAGACTGGTGAAGATAAACGGATAGCGGAACGTCAGGATCAACGTGAAAGTGGGAAGACAGAAGCGAACAACGCCAGTGTTGGACGTACCGGTTCGACTATGAGACGTACGGTGATCGACAGAACCGTTTTGGATAACGAAAGGAGAACCGATTGCAACGTCTCACCGAACTAAAGACAAACCCAGACCAGACACCGGGAAACGAAAAAGATGGCGCAAAAAGAATTGTCACCATTTGAGCAGTTGCGAATGATTCAACAGGAAATCGAAAACACATTGAATCGGTCAATGCTGATGCAACAGGGAAGAGAGAAGGTCATCTCAGTACCAGAGACACTGGAGAAGAAAAGCGAATGCACAAAAGTCGACGAAAGGAAGAAGGAACTGCTCGCGCCAGATATGGATGAGGTGATCATATTTCTCCCGGACGGGAGAAGTATGATCGCAGACGACAATGAACAAGGAGCTACAGAAAATGGAAATGTCGAAAAAGCTATCCCAGTACCAGAGGCACTGGAAACGAAAAATGAAAACGGAAATGCTGAAAAAGTTATCCCAGTACCAGAGGCACTGGGAAATAAAGATGTAAGGTCACCGACGAGACGAGTTGAGGATAGCCGTGAGGTAGCAGAGCGCACCTCCCAAAAGGAATCCTTTTTCGAACCACGATCTGCTACCAAAGATGAAACCGAAGAAAAAGAATTGCAAAGAATACCAGAGCGTACTACTAACGATGAAAGGTTTCCAACACTTGAAGAGATAGTTGCCACACAGAAAGAAGCGGCAGCTGCGGCGAAACAATCGCTTGTGCCAGGCATGGAGTGGGCAAAACCTATCCCAGTACCAGAGGCACTGGGAATAAAGACGGCTAAAGTATGGAAGGATAAAAAGAGTGAAAGGTTACGAGTACTGAAACGAATAGCCGAAGAAGAACAGATGTTTACAAGTGAAATTCGTAACAAGGCGTTGGAGCAGCTGAAAGGTCACCGGACAAATAAAGAACCAGAGGTCATCGAAATATCCTCTGAAGATAAAAGCGCGACTCCAATTGAATGTGAGGAAGATACCACAGCACAGGAAGAGGTTAAACCTCAAGCGAGCCAAAGGACATTAACTCCAGAAGAACGAGCCGGGAGTTGTCACCACGGTTACTTTGAGGACCCGTGCAGAGTACAACCACAATGGGAATGTGCGGAATGTTGCGAAAATGCCTCCCAAGATGACCCTTCACAGTGGCCGAAATGTAATGCCGCATTAGCAGACCTTAAAGGTCATGTCCAAAAGGAAGTGAAAAGCATCATGCGGACAAACGAAATGTGGAAACCACACATCGAACGATATCATTGGAATAGATATCGAACATGGCTATCATGTGTGGAAAGCTTTATAATCGGGAGAGGTAAATGGTTAAACCACTGGTTAAAACGTGTCGAAAAGGGGATCCAAGACCCCCTTGATCCGGTAGCAACCGAAAAGAGATTTGAAAGAGAGATAGAAGAGATGAACGAAGAAGGGGAGTTGTGGGAAGAAGCGAGAGTTGACCTTTTCTGGGACTTTCGCGTAAACCACATGTATAAAGGTGAAGGAAGAACGATTATTTTTCCAGCAGGACTTGGCACACCTGTTTATGAATCGCTCCAAGTATACTACGACGCGTTAAAAGAGGGAAATGAAGAGCAATTTGAAAGATACTGGGAAAAATTTGAAAGAGAAATTCCCACATTTGATGTCAAAGACATGAGAGAATTACAGGTAACCCGGAGAAGAAGGTTACCGGGATTAATGCAGAAGAAAAAGGTGACCTTTGCACCAGATCCAGACGGAGTGGATTACCCAGAACGAGGCGGCGACACGTGGTGCATGTATGAAACGATTCCAGATGATGAATGGGTCACCGAGGAATTGATGGCAAACTGTATCTTCGTCGGTCCCAAACGACCTAAAGGTTACGGAATGGTTCAACAGGATAAAGCTCATAAAGAGACTACAAAAGGAACAGAACAAGAGGAGCTGGTTAAAGAGATAGTCGAGGGAGGATCGAATGAAACGGAAGAAAGTTCAAGGTCAGCATTCGACATTGCACAGATGCTAACGGATAGAGGTGAAATGTGGAAGAAGTTCAAAGAAGAAGTGGACCGAATAACGAATGAACAGCAAAACCCAGTAACTGAGGCAAAAAACGGGGAAAGGTCACTCGATAACGGTGAGGAATGTCCGCCGGTCGAGTTGACCGAAAAGCCATTAACAAACCTTGAAGAAACAAATGAACGGGAAAAGTCGAAATCGGACGAAAGGTCAGACTCCGATCAATCAGAAAGGTCACCAACGAGAATCCGAGTAGCAAGGAGTCACCCGAGAGTCGCTGCACGAAACGGGCGAAAGGCAAAAGAGGGGGACAAACCTCTGCTCAAAAATTCGAAAGCGAAAAAACTTAGCGATTCACGGGAAAATGAAAGTGACCTTTCATCAGAAGATGAAGGAGTTGATGAACGCCCACTCGAAAAGGCTGACAAAGGTCAAGTCACTGCACAAGAATACGAGAGCAGTAATTCGGACTCGGAATGGACGAGTTCAAGTGATAATTCAACGACTTCGGAAGATTCAGGTGTAAGTGACCTTTCGGAGCAAGAGGATTTAATGGACTTGGATGAAGACGACGAAGTGGATGAAGAAAAAGAAAAGGATATTAAAGTCAGAAGATTGAAAGTAGAAAAGGCCAGAATGTCGAAAGATGTAATCAAAGTCTACAGTGATCAAAGAATTACACTGAAACCGTCCAACTGCACACGCGTAAAGGTCAAGATGGGAAAATACGCACCGGCCCAAAACAAGCTGATGTTTACACCGGTCCCACAAGTGGAAACTGAAGTGCAACCGTTGGCAGGAGTGACGGACCACAGGGGAAAATACTTCGAAATCGTCATCGCGAATCACAGTAGCAAATATCGGATCGTGAAGAAAAATCAACTTCTCGGCTACGTTGAACCGTATGAACATATGGAGAATGTAAAGGTCAACGCAGGGACAGTAAAAAACGTACTCGAAGACCCTGATGTGGACGATACAACGAAAGCCGAACTTACAAAGATAATTGAAAATTTGAAACTAGGACCTGACCTCACTGAAGAACAGAAGAACGACGTGTATAACGCGTTTTGGGAATTCTGGAAGGTTTTACCCACATCAGAGAAACCATATGGAGATGTGAAAGGGGTCACTCACGTAATTGATACGGGAGACGCCAAACCAGTTAAATGCAACCCGGCCAGAACGAGTTGGACAGGCCGCGAGTTTATAACATAGCATATCGAAGAGATGTTGGCACAAGATGTAATTGAGCCGTCAGATGCCGAATGGAGTTTCCCAGTCGTATTGGCAATAAAGAAAAATGGCGACGGAACAATGGGAACGAGATTTTGCGTCAATTACATCATGCTTAACAAGTTAACGAGGAAAAATGACTACCCGCTGCCGAACCCGGATGAGTTGCTCGACGCGTGCGCAGGCAACAAATATTACGGGGAAAATGGACTTGCAAAGTGGATTCTGGCAGATCCCAATGGATCCAGCGTCAATCAATAAGACGACCTTTGTAACACAGGACGGAATGTACCGGTTCAAAAGGATGCCATTTGGAGTTTGCAACGGACCAGCAACATTTCAATTGTGCATGGACAAGGTACTTTCGAAAGCGAAAAGAAAGGGATGCGTCTTCGGATACATTGATGACGTGATTTTCGCCGGAAAAACTTGGGAAATTTTCATGCAGAATTTGAGGAATGTCTTAATGAGTCTGGTTGAAGCGGGATTCACGATTAAACCAACCAAGTGTGAATTCGGGATAAGACAAATGGGATTTCTGGGTCATATACTCAGCGAAGATGGAATTCGAATGGATCCGGAAAAGGTCACCGCGGTCTCAGAATTCAAACGACCTCAAACAGAAAGGCAGTCAAGGTCATTCCTCGGACTGGCGAATTATTATCGCAAATTCATAATGGGATATGCACAGAAGACTTCCCACTTATATGAGTTGCTGAGACAAGACAAGCACGTGAAAAAGGACTGGACGAAGGTACATGAAGATGAATTCAACAGTTTGAAACAGTTGTTATGTGAAGGTCCAGTACTGGCAAAGTTTGACCCAACAAAACCGACCGTCATTGAATGCGACGCAAGTAAAGAAGGAATCGGAGCTGTATTGTCACAAGACGGACATCCGATCGCGTACGCCAGTCGCGTCTTACATGGAGCGGAGAAAAATTACGGTGTGACGGAATGGGAATGTCTGGCAGTTGTGTTCGCTGTCAGGAAATTTAAGCCGTACATTGATTACGCAGAATTCACCGTAAGGACGGATCACCAGGCGCTGACCAACCTGCTAAGGTCAGAGACGAACAAAGTTGGAATGAACCCGCGTTTGACAAGATGGGCAATGGCACTACAAGGCCACCAGTTTAAAATTGAATATAAACCGGGGAAATATTGCGACAATGCGGACGCGTTATCAAGAGCGCCAATTGAAGGCCCGACGTGTCACGAAGAGGAATTTGATGAGATTCCAAACTTCGAGGATTACAAGAAGGAATTTGACACGAAGGAACCAGCTATCGAAATTGGCCAGTTGTTTTTACAGATGGTGGAACAGAGAGATAAACGCTTAAAGGTCATTTCAGCTACGGCGAATGAGTCGGCTGAAATTGAAGCTAATGTGAACCGTGTAAAAAGTTGGTTACCCACCGTTAGCGACTTAAAGGTCACCGGACTTGACGCGGAATCCAAGATGCAGAATGGAAAGGTTACGGAACTTGACGAAGCAGCGGAGAATAGAGATGACCTTTGGGAAACGGACAAAGTTACACAAGCATTGAATGAGTGTCCGATTAAGTTGCTGAGATTCCCAAAACAGACGAAAAAGAGGTATAAGCCGTTACCACGCTGTAAGGTCATCAGAGACTGGAACGAACTCAGTACAGCGACAGTCCGCATCGTTAACCTGCAAGGTGACGAAGAAGAAGTGGATGACTCGAACTTACAACTGCGAAACAAACAGTTGAAAGATCCCCATCTGGCCATGATTATAGATGAGTTGGAACATCTACCAGATGCGGAAACAAGATCGAAATTCGAAGTTCATTATCAGCTATGGAACGGCATATTATACCGAGTCAAGGATAAAAATGGCAAACTTGAAAGGTCATATGTCGTACCGTTGTCAATGCGAAGAGCGATAATCCACGCATTGCATGATGAGAAAGCAGCGGGTCATTTGGGATTTGAAAAGACATTGTCAGCAATAAGATTACGGTATTATTGGGATCGAATGAGTACCGATGTGAAGAATTACATACTCGCGTGCCAAGGTTGCCAGTTCCGCAAGACACCAAGAAAATGCCCACCTGGAAAATTACAAGAAATTAAAGTTGGACATCCGTTCTTCCGAGTGTACGCTGATCTGAAAGGACCGTTGTTACCGACGAAGAAACGTGGATACAAGTATATAGCGGTATTCATCGACCAACTGACGAAATATGTGATTGCGGTACCAATGAAAACGGCGACGGCTAAAGAATTCGCTAAAGTGTTCGTGAAGCACGTGATACTGGTACACGGTGCACCGCACATCCTTCATACGGACCGCGGACGACACTTTACAGCAGAAGTACTGGCAAAGGTCACCAATGTGTTTAAAATTAAACACACATTTGGAACGGCGTATCACCCAGAAGGTCAAGGCCAAGTGGAGAGACAGATGCAGACGATCGCCGATGGCCTGGCGCAATACCTGAAAGCGGGAAATGAGCGAAAGTTTAACAAGTACCTCCCATATGTCATTTCAGCGATGAACAGAGTTGTACACGCCACAACCGGATACTCGGCATATTATATGTTACACGGCAGAGAAATGACAATGCCGGAAGATGTGGTTACGAAAACGAATATACCCGATGATTATGGGACTCCAGACGAATGGGTGGAGACTATGAAAAAGAACTTGACCTTTGCCGAAGAAGTGGCGAGATGTAATATCAAAGATGCTTATGAGAAAAACGCGGAAATTTACAACAAGAAGAAGTCGGAACCGAACTTCAAAGTGGGAGATTTTGTATTGATACGGTTACCAAAGGACACGAAACAAGGGAAGAAGGAAAATCAATCGGACTTTAAATCAAAATACGATAAAGTGTGGAAGATTCTCAGTTTCCCGCGACCAAACGAAGCCGAGCTCATTAAGCAGAACCCGAAGAAGGAAGCAGACTTAAAGGTGGTTTCGATCGACCGGTTGAAACCATGGCACCCTCCATTACCAGATGAGGAAAAGGTATCAGAGCGCACTCAAAAAGATTCGGAAAAATCTTTTTTCGAACCACCTCTGCTACCCGAAACGGGGAAAGCTAACGGAAACGAAGACGAATCAGAGCGGAGTCCGAAAAATGACTCAGTCACACAAGAGAAGCCATTTTTCGAACCACCTCTGCTACCTGAAATGGGAGAAGGTCAAACGAACGGGTTAAACGGGGATAAACCGAGAAAGAAAAGAGGAAGAAAAAAGAAAGAGGATAAGGACTTTGTAACTGCGGTCACAATAAAGTTGAACGCAGAAGCTGGGAATTTGGCAGAAAGGTCACCGGACGATCTTTCGAAACCGCGAACTGATGTCGACTTACCAGAGCGTAATTCAAAAAAGGATTTGCAACAACCCTTTTTCGAACCACGCACTGCTACTGACAACGAAAGCGACCTCATAGAAAAGCGAAAAGAGGAAATCGAGGCGGTCAAATCGAGAGCTGAACAATTGGGCCGCGATATAGCGAAAGCAATTAATGACCGAAAGGTCAAGCAGAAGAAGAAGAAACCAACTCCTACGGAACTGCTAACCCAGAAAGGCGAACCTGAGGATGCAGCCGAAAAAGAACTTCTTGATCGGATAACTAAAGGACGCGGAAACAAATAACCCACATAAATATGATTAAGGAAATTATCGGCAATACAAATAGGAGTTGGGAAGGTGTAAAAGAAAGGTCATCACCGTGCAAAAGTTAATCAAAATTATTTCGTTATTACAGAAGGTAAGCTCAGTTAATGGACAGATTGGAACGACAGAATTCAGATAATTCGGATTCGGAAAGTATTGGAAACCCACTAAAGACATCGACACCAATAAGAATGGAAGGGGAATACGGTTACGACACCTCATACGGTGAAGGATCGACGTAGTCAGTGGGAACGGCTCAGAATGAACCCGGAACAGTTCAAGGTGGTTACTATGGCGGACCGGGGTACTACGCGTATCACGATCCAGGACAGCAGACGAGTTACCAGGACACGGTTAACTGGGTGCACCACGGCTCACCTGCCGGAACCCAGTATTCGGGACAAGCAACGGGCGCCCCCTACCAGCCGTACCCGGGATCGTATACCCCACCGATGGGACCACCGCAGGTGATGATGGGACCGGCAAGAATGCTGATGCCGCCACCGCAACAGACCACACCGAGTCGATTTATGGGACATGGTGGATTCAGCGGAACTCCACCACGATCACAAAGGTCATCTCCGATATTACCACCTTTTCCAGAGACGAGAGGTCTGTCATTATCGGACATAGGAACGCCCCTCATGCGCACACCGCAGCAACTGGGAGCGCAGCGTCCCCATCGTAATTCGCCACACAGAGGAGGAAGGCGACCGAGAGGCATTCTACCGTCACTGGGTCCAAACTTGGACGAGACTGGACCAGATGGTTTACGGCTTACGCCTCCAGGTGAACCTTCAATACACGCATACGCACCGAAGCTTCCTTTGGATTTGAGAGAGGACGACGCAAGCTTAAATATGATTCCGAATAAGGAGGACAAACTGACGGAAAACGACTTGGAAGCTATCCGAGAATTTAATCGGAAACGCCGCGAACTTTATAGAATTCGCATGCGAGTTGAAGACGAGCACGCATGGTACGGAAAGTTAATCAGCCTGGAAGCCGTTATTAAACCATGTCATATCGCCCTGAAGGAAAAGACAAAACTGATCGAAAAAGAGCGCAGGGAATACGCGATAAAAGTTGCGTCGATGTGGCAATACCACCCGTCGCTAAATGGTAGGCCATGGCCTTCGATCGTCGAAAAGATCCTTAGGTATCTTAAAGTGTTCCCGGAAACAAGACAGATGCATCCTACCAGCGTCGCGGACCATCTAAACCCAGAGCTGAAAAAGATGCCCCGGTTGATGAAATGACGGACGAGGACCTTTTGGCCACAAAGCAGAAGATTGATGCCGTATTAACGGAACGAGCAGAAAGGTCACGGGCCAGCTCGGTTGCAGGATCAGGACGTGGACGTACTAGTTCGGTCACAGAACCATCCAGTGGCACCACGAAGAGTGGAAAAAGAGTGAGATCACCGACGACAAGCCCAAAAGAAACTGATAAGAAAGGGCAGCGAACAAAGAAGCCCACAGAAAGCAAAGCAACACCAGCTGAGCCGGCAAAGCCACAAGCCCCGATTCCAGTGGGTAGAAAGAGTGTACCACCCACGCCGAAAGGAACGGAAGGTCAGATTCGATTCCCGAAGTGCAGAAGTTTTACGGCCAAATACACTGGGACAGACCATAAAGAACGAAAGGTCACCGCGCGTATTGTTGATAGGAAAACGAATAAAGAAATCGACTCTTATAATCCTCTTGCGGATAAGTCAGTCAAGGATGCCATTGGGGAACAGTCAAAAATGTTAGTCAATGAGGCGTTACAGCTTATTCCCCCAGAGGAACGTCACAATCCAAGAGTTCTCATTCAGATGCTGAAGCATGTGGTATCTAAAGTCGCGATCGAAGAAGATGCATGGATCCGTATCAAAGTGGGCACAAATGGCGACCACCTGGCATACACGTATACAACGGACGGCAAATTGTTGGCCAAGGAGAGAATTCGCGCAAAGCCGACGGCGAATCCTGACCCGAAAAAACGATCGTCAGATGATTATGAGACGGTCCCGAGATATACAGATGCGGCAAGTAGAAAGGTCACCCTCCGAATTTTCGCCGGCAATGGAGAAGTTGTGGAGACCATAACCGCAGTGATTGTTGACCCAATAACCGGTGACCCGATCCCACACGCTCCATGGGACGTATCAGAAGAAAGCGCCCAAAACGCGAACCAGGTGGCCCTTGATCAATTATACCGGAAAGTGACCGCACAGATGCCGTGGTTCAAGCGAGTACACTGATCAGTATAATGCGGTATCGAGCAGAAAAAGACGAAGCACACTACCGGCTAACGAGACGAATGGAAGATGGAGCATATAAGACGACGTTTTATGATGCAAAGAATGAACCCTTGTGGGAGATCGTCTCAAAGGGACAGACGAAAGAAACACCACACTTGGAAATTCAGGACAAACAGCCCCCGGCACAGGAAGGTGGAGCCGGAGAAATGGAAGAGACCTCAGTCACAGGAGTCGAAGAAACTGGAGGCGCCAGACGTTCGTTGCAAAGAGTACTCGAGATTGCTCAAGGAAGCCAGGATCACCTTCAGTGTGACGAACCAAACTGTGCCCATTGCAACCCACCTGGTGACGCTGAACCAGAGTCGGAAGATGAGAACTCAGTTGAAGATGAAGAAGACTCAGATGAGGAAATGGTGGACAAACACAAAAAAGCCCTCAAAAGAGGCGACACCGAGAAAAGCGCCTAAGTTGGAAGAAGCTATGAACCGTGAGAAGCCTAAGAAAGGGGACTTCCTAAAGAAACGAAGGGAAGCAGAAGAGAGGAAGAAAAAGAGCGGTGATGAAAGCGAGAGCACAAGCACCGAGAAAAAGAAGACGGAGGGGAAGAAGAAAGAAAAACCGTCATCTCATGATGTTGAAATACTGGACGAATCAGTTGGCGAAGTTGAAGAAAGATCATCGACACCTACAACCTCAAAGAAAGTCATCCAATCAGCTACATCAAAAGCAAAGGTCACTGAGCCTGAGTCGCCAAAACCCAAAGCAAAGGTCATAGCAGTGAAACAGGTTGTCCCCATTGTCATTTCGGCATCCACGCCGAAAAGGGCGCAGGGATAAACAGACTCGGGAAAAAGCAAAGCGCGAGACGTCCCGTGAGTCAGAGGCATCGGAAGTGAGCCTTCCAAGCACTTCGACGGTTAGCGCGAGGTCACATACGCATTCGAAAACGCACGGTCCAGGACCACAGAACCAAGAAGCCTAGCCGAGGCTTTGGATAAAGGGAAAAAAGCAAAGAGCGAACCCGTTAAGACCAAAGGAAAGGGCAAGGCAGCCACAAAAATCGATGCATTGGCGATGATTAATTATACTGAACCAGATGGAGAGAGCGAGTTGGACTTCACCTCGGATGAAGAATTTGATGCTCCCGACAACGATAATTTGACCACCGTCGATGAAATCATCAATGCGTATAACGGAGCGGAGAAAAATTTCACACGAATAAGGACAGCATCAGTGACATCGAAATTTAAGGCGGGCCTGAAGACATACTTGAAGAAACAGCGTCGTAGCTTCACTAAACGAAAGTTCGACGTCGTATTGGAATTTGCGCGGAACGCAGGGAAACTTATCCAGAAGCACCCGAGTTTTTCGTATGAGGCTAAGTTGTTCAGACCAGCCAGCTCGGATAAAGCGCTGACAACTCCGAATGAACCGGTCCCAATGCGGGTAGAAAGGGCAATCGCAGGAATGACAAGCCCGTTAGGGTCAACAAGTCACCGGATCAGCCAATACATTAACGCAGTTTGGAACGATGGAAATGGAATGATAAAGGAACTCGACGTGGCAACTGAGCGTGTATTGCCAAGAATGATAAAACAGAACGTCCTTGCCACGACAAACGCACATAAAGGACACCCGATCCGATACACGAGAGTTGGTCTAATACCACCGGAAAGACAGATCCACTGTAATATGTCCGACAGTCAGGATATGGAAAAGGTCACAGTTTCATCGAAGACAAAAGGCCCAATGGATTCGGAATCGGAAAGCGACGACGACGCTACTATAACGGCTCCTTCTGGACTTACGACAGAAAAAGACGAACAGTCGAAAGGTCAAGACACATCGGGAACTGTCGCAGAAGTCCTACCGAAAGGTCACGAGACTTCGGACAAGCAGGAGAAAGAAAAGGTCATGCTCCCCATGGAAAAGGCAGCAGCAGAGGCGGAAGCAGCGGCAGCCTCTGCGCGACAAGTGTTTCAGAAATCACTGTTCACGCCATTAAAGGAGGTTTTTGAAAAAGAGCGATCGAAATCGGCAAGCGAAGTGGGAGGTCACGAGACTACGCCACAAGAGGAAAAGAAAACAGTTGAACCGAAATCGGCGGGGTCATCATCAGGATCACTGGCAAAGCTGAGGATCGACGAGACAGCGACGGCTGACCCAACGGACTCGACATCCTCCCAGAAAAGTAGCGGTACACCGGCAAAGGAGGCTACAGATTACATGTTAGGGCCGGCATTGGACGTGAATAATCGTACATGGAACGAAGTCCAGAACGCGCTCCAGATCATCCGAGAAAAAGAGATGCTTGGTACAGATCTGAAGAGACAAGTGGCAATAAATTCAAACGGAAGGTCGTCACTTAACATGACTGAACGAGTCTTGAAACGAGCTTATAAGGAAGGAAAGTTGGGATGTAAATATAACAAGGACAACAAAGTCGTCTACTACCTTCCGAAACAGGGCACGGAACGAACGCCCAGACTGAAAATGGAACTGGAGGCCTGGAAGATAGCCATCACAGATGTGGCTCTGGACGCCATTGGCGGCACTAAGGGGGCGTCATGGAGCGACCTTTCGAATTTCATGGCCGTTCACTATGAATTGGGAGAGCTGAATATTGAAAGCGATAAAGAGTGGATTAAGAATGCCGTCGAAGCCTTGATCGCAGACGAAGTGCTTCATCTTAACCCAGATGGTCGAATTGACTTCAAGCCGTATAAACCACCGGCGAAGGAATCCGAGTAAACGGGATGAGTGTAATATGCAGTGAGTAATGAACCCTGCATATTACAGAAAAAGCATAAAACAATACAAAACGAAAGAGAAAGCGTTACGGGAAATGGGAACAGGAAAAGTTTAACTTGAACAGCGATTAGACTAATAGAAAAGGTCACAGTAGTCAAAGAGCGCTGATAACGTGAGAAAGGTCACCACGTTACAGTGATAGAAAGGGCAGCAGGAGCTAGGAAAGTCTCAGCTCAGTAACGGAATAGGCGTAAAAATGATAGAAAAGCCTTGATACGGATAGGAATGGAAAGATTGACGTGGAAAAGGTTACTATGATGGATTGTTTTATAATTGCAGATTGAAGCGGAAAAATGGCACAAAAAGGTCAAGCCACTTCCAAACGTTCAGGAACGGCTACAGACATTGATCGGTTTACGGGCTATAATCCAAAGTGTCCGGACTGTCTACGTAATAACAAGAAAGTTGATAAGAAATTCCCATGCTACGCTTGTATTCACAAGTTGGAGGACCCGCATATGGTTTCACTCGTTGGGGTCTCGGAAGCTAAACGTGGGAACCTGGACGTCTTCCGCAACTTGATAAGTGCAAGGAATTACGGCAGCATCCCAATGGAAGAGCGAATGCTACTCGAGGATCGCTACCGGGAAGCGATCCGGAACAACGAACCCGGTTGGGATGATACCTTGGAACCGTTGAAATGCCCACAGACAGACGCGTATCGAAAGAAGTTCGAAGAAGACCAAGAGAAGATGCGAGTCAAACAAATGGAAGATGAAATTCGGGCAAAAATCAATGCGGAAAATAAAAGGGCAAGTGAACAGGCTGCACGAGAAGCATTGCCCAGCACATCGAGTTTAGCTGCACCCACGGGCATGTCCAGCCTAAACGAAGACGAAATGCAACTCGTACGACAGTCGCTCATCATTCAGATTGATACGCTGATAAGTGATCCGACCGCCATGCAACAGGACTTATTCGATGCGCTGTTGCGGGAAAAGTTGAGATTACAGAAGGGTTTCGCGCCAGCACCATACTTACGGAAAGAAGTTGAAAGACGGATGGAAGAGAAACGCAAATCTCGCCAAACCGAAAGCGATGTGCTCCAGGCGCTCAGAAGCTTTAAAAGAAGCGAAGGTTTTGCTCGACCTCCATCACCTCCGCATAGAGAAAGGTCACGCGGACATTCACGCGAACATGAGCGGACTTCTGAACGACAGAGAGAAAGGTCACGCGAACACTCCCGTGAAAGGACACGTGACTACCGCAGCGAAAGGTCACGCGAACGTTCCCGCGACCGAGATTACCGTGGCGGAAGAGGATGGGTGCGCCGCGGAGATGAAATAACGGAAATGTGTATCCAGCGAAAGATCGATACGGCAAAGATTCTGGCAGCGACCAGAGAACGCGAAGAGAAACGGCGTGCGGAGACGTTCCGTACAGAACCTGAAAAGGAAGGACATCAGGTGCCGATGGGAGTGGCGTTCTGTAACCGCAACGTCAGAATGTCAACACCCGAAAGGTCATGGGATAAAAGACGCGAACATACGCGAAATCGAACGCCTGACCCACGCGATAAGAGATGGCAACAGAGGGCTGCATTCTATGCGACCTTTGACTCGGGCGCAAGCAAAAGGTCATCGAGTGCGGAGAGGGAAGACACACCCCCAAAATATCAGCGAATGGAGTCAACAGTTCACGTAGTGGATCCCATTGTGAGTGCCGTACAAGAAGATAATGCGATGGAAGGCACTGGCTCAGTCGTCGAAACCACGTCTCAAGAGAATGTGACTCATCGACGAAATGTGATCTTGGATAGTGACCTTCAACCGGCTTCATCGACGAGTAATGAACCGTCGCAGCCAGCATCAGCAGACCAACATGAACCAGAAGGTCAACGCGAACCGGACAATCGTCGTCAAGCTGAGAAGCGACAAAACTCAAGATTCGATAACCGACAACCTGATACCATCGATATGGGATACAATATGAATGACATTGACGAGCAAACGGTTGAAATTTGCCGATATTTTGGGATTAAATCAGATTCGGCCCAAGCTAATAGGATTAGCACCATCTTGAATCAGTTGCGCCAGTTCTTACTCGATTCGGGCTACGCGGCTGAGATTATAGAAGGTTTACGTGAAGGGACTTTCCGTCGGTTATTCATCCACCGCGACTCGGCGAGAGATTGTTATCTCCCTATCAGACGGAATGGGCTACACAGTTTAGTGGATTTGAGTTTATTGGATGTACCATTGGATACAACTGACCCAATCGGAATGACACAGTTCTATTATCGCGATTACCCTGAACGACAAGAATATGTTCTACGCTACGTGAATCCGGCTTTCAAGTTGCTTGCAGCAAGAGCATCGGTAGGACTGCAAGTGGATAGGAAAGATTACGCCGCAAAAAGGATGGGGCAAAAGGTCTTTGCTGCACGACTGGCACATTACAAGACACAGAACCAGCTGGTATCGAATACGATGAGAGACGACATCCCACCATTTTTCCGACCTCACGTCGCTAAATTGGGACAACCGTTGGAACACATCAGCATAGCCCATAATGCTCGGAAGGAGCTGAAGAAATGTAAGACACGGATGGAAAAGGGGAACTTGACACAGCGCCATGCCTCCCAAGTTGAAGAGAGGATAAATAAGATCAAAGATTCTCTGGGAAGTGACTATGTGGAACCGGTAGACGGAGTCGAGACTTACATTGAGGAATTCTTGGTGAAGAAAAGTGACCGTCGTCCGGAACGTGCTCCTAACCAGATGGGACGACGTGGTATACGGAACCAACAACTCCGAGATAATCTCGCTGACGTACAACGGCGACTGGCAGCTGACCCTAATAACCGAAGACTGCGGTTAGAGGAGAACGACGCACGGCACCAACTTGAGAGAGTTAAGCGAAGCCGTCAAGGGAAAGGTCGTGGCCAGCGTCAGGTTGACCCGGTAAAGGCCATGGGAGTTGATTCAACGGAACCAGTTGATCGAACATCCGACCGTAATCAACCCGAAAGCGCTGAAAAACGCCCGCCAAGAGATGGCGAGGGCGATTCGAATGAAATGGAACAG